TCCTCCTTTTTGATGCATAATTTCTATGCTTATTCCCTTCTGGAAATATTAACAACAGAATACACTTGATCAATAAGTGCTCCAAAGACTAAATATTCCAGAGAATACTTAGTGGTTCTGAGACCAGATTGGGGGTTTCAGACCCCACCCCACCCCCATCGAGAATAGCAGAGAATTAGCCTAACCCTGATTGGGTACAGACCCCATGATTTTTATCATGAGACCAACCGTTTTGTATAGCCTAGATACTTAGCTTGCAGGTCAGCCACTGGGGCTTCTCCTCTTTCCCTCACCCTGCCTCTGATACTTCAGACCTCTAGGCTGAATGTCTGGGAATTCAACACTGAAATGGCTACATCTTTTTCCTTCTCTGGGCACTGTAGGGAGATATGAAGTACCAGCTTTAATGAGATAAGACAATCATATATAATTGGATTGTTCTTAAGCCAATTAAGAGTACATGTGTAAGGATAATTAAAATGGAATTAAACATCCTCTGTGGTAACACATTTGGTTCAGCTGCTTTGTCTTTGTTCCAACATTCTAAAACATATTTTTGCTTAGGTAGACATCTTTGAAATAGATCTTCTATTGGCTTTGTCATGAAAGACGTGACTGTCTGATGCTTCCTTTTTTCTATGATGTTCTTCAAAGATTTTGAAGCATACTACATAGTAACAGTATGGGTCCTACTTCTCACATTGCTTGACATGGAATATTTTTCAGAATTCTTTACCTTTAAAAAAAAATTTTCCCAATGTTCCCCTCCAGTCAGAGACACTCTCTATAAATTACCTGAATACTTTTATATGAGACTATTTAGACTATGTAATAGAATTAAACAAACTCCCTTTTTGGTTTCCCAGCATTTCTTTAGCTCTTGTCTCTTCCTCAGTTGCTGAAAAAAGAAAGATCTTCGAAATTCTCTCTGTGATGATGTAGGGTTTTTATTTTAAATTGTGAAATATTTCAAAAATACAGATGCTAAGAAAATGACCCACCAATATACCTATCAACTTGACTAAAAAATGTTAGATTTTTTTTAATTCAACTTCCAAAAATTTTTGTGTTGAGATTGATGATTCTATTTTCTCATATAGTACTTATTTTGGAATAATGATTATAATGATTTTATAGAGTGAAATGAGAAACTTGTTTCTTTCCCTCTTCTCTGAAATCTATGCTATAAAGTAGTGGAAGAGCTTCAGAGAGGAGGTACAGAAAGAGAGTCCCCAGGCCCACATCTCTAGTACCTTTTTAATTTGTGGTTTGTGTATATGTGCTAAGGGTTGCTTGCTGATCCATTTAAGAATTTTTTTTTAACAGATGCATTCATATTTTCTATTTTTAAACTGTGGAAATTCGTAAACTTAAAATAATTTATTGCTCTACAAATGTACTGACAAAAGTCAGAGTATTATATTGTGCTCTATAGGTCTGTTTTTAATTACATATACCTTTTAAATCTGTGTTATATCCAGTATTATGTTCTTTTAAAAATTCCTGCACATAATCATGCCATCTCTAACTAGGAATATCAATTTTCATTAGTTTAATTTAAAAAAGAAACAGTCTGTTTCTGTTATTGACTATCTTTGTTCTTTTCTGTTTCATGAGTGTCTACTATTATACTTTTTATCTCTCCCTTCGTGAGTGTTTATTCTTTGGTTGATTTATTAAGTTCATGACTTAGATAACCCTTGAATTATCAATCTTTTTCCCCTATCCTTTAATATGTGCAATTTACCTTTAAAGCCAGTTGAGGAACATTTTACATATTTTTGTCATTATCCCTTAAGTTTCTATTACTATATTCCCTCCTTAACTTGTGAAGTACTTACAAGTATGCAGTTGAATATCCAAATGTGCAGTAGATGTGTCGAACTTTGAAGAGTTGCTATCTTTACATTATGATACGTAACTTTATTTCTCTCTGGACAGAGAGATGAGGTTTTATATTAACTCTTCAGTGTTTGTTAAGACTCATAATGGTGATTTATTTTTTTCTTACTATTTCTTGAGTTCTGAAAAACAATTGAGTTCTCTAAAGGCTCTGTGCAGTGTTCTTTGTTAAATTCACTGGTACAAGAGTTATAATTGAGTTGTAAAAGCCCCCCATGTTTGTAAGATTATTTTTAAAGCTGAGCCATCAGTTTTTAGTAATATATGTTAAGATTCCCTTCTAGATTTTGACTTCAGTTTCCTTGCAGTTCTCTCACTTTTACGTTTTGAGGCTGTCACATTTAAATGGATGCAGGTTCAAGGTCATGATATGTTTCTAGTGAATCATTTTTTATACATTTATACAATGACTGTTCTCATCCCCAATAATGTTTTCTATATTTGTTTATCTTTCCGATGTTAATCTTGTGTTATTTTGTTGTTGTTGTAGTTGTTTGGAATTTTTTATTTGTATTTCTTAGTTTATTTCCTAATTTTTATTCTTTCCACGTAATTTTTGTTTTGAGCCTATCTCTCAGAAGCAGCATGTACCTGAATTTTATTAAGTCTGACATAAAAATCAAATCACATTTATCATGATTATGCTGGAATTTTATTTTTTTCTCTTTTGATGCCTACCTTTTGATTTACTAAGTTTTCCTTCCATCCATTTATTTGGAGGATATAGTTTTCTTCTTTCTATGTTACATGTAAAAAAAAAAAAAAATAGTTCATATGTATCTTGTTCTCAATGTCAGTGTTTTGTAGTGCTCTCATTTGAGTCATATCTTCCCACTTTGCATGCAAAATTACTGTGAAGCATTTTATTTCCACATTGTCTTAACTCATCTGTCATTGGTATTATTTTTTACAATTAGTGTTTGGAGCAATCCATACCTATTATACTTATTGTCTTTTAGTTTACTATTGCTTCTGCAGCCCTGTCATTCCTTCCTTGATAGAATTTCTTTATTTGGCAAGAAGATCCACTAGTGGTTATTTCAGCAAGTTTCTCAAAGGACTAGAATTCAATTTTGGGCACTGAAAATGTCCTTATTTCATTGCCAATTTTTGAGAGACAGTTGCAGATGAAATTCTACATTGTCATTTGTTTTCTCTTGGCCCTTTGAAGATATTCCAGTGTCTTCTGTTATTTATTCATAAAGTTTCTATCTTATTGTCATTTCTCTAGAGATAATGTATCTTTTCTTCCAAATGGTTTTTAGATATTCCTTTTTATTTTTGATGTTTGGACATTTCAACCTATCAGTTACAGGAATGGAAATGGGCATTTATCGTTCTTGAGATTAAGTGTGTTGCTTTTTCTGAGAACTCATATTTTAAAATATCTCATTCATTAACTAACTATTCAAATTTTGCCTCTCTGCAATATTCTGTTTTTTTCTTTCTGAAACTCCCATAGATATGCATTGTGACTACTTATCCATTCTCTGTATTGCTGCCCTATTCTAAATTGACTCACCATTTAATTTAATTGTATCTTTGCGTACTGGCGAGTGAACCAAAGGCTAGCATCTGTTCTACCAATAAGCTATATCTTCAGCCATTTTTATTTTTTTAACTTGTTCAATTAAATTTGTTTATTGCATTATTTTTATGTTCTAGCCTTTTTATTATTTTGAGAGAGGGCTTCAATGAATTTCCCACTATGTCCTGGAACATGAGATCCTCCTGTCTCAGCCTTAAAAAGAGCTGGGATCACTAGGGTGTGCCACCACACCCTGATGACTTATCATATTTATACTACATTCTAGATATTTTCTTCAGTGCTTTATCATGATATTCAATAATTATTTCCTGCTGTGTCCACTGAATATTTGTGTTAAGTTCTAAAAGCTAAATTTCATTTCTGGAAGTTCTGTTTAAGATATGACTATTCTTTTTATCATATAGTGTTCTGTTTATCCTTTTTAAAAATATTTCTTGTTTAATTTTTTAAAACACAAGATTAATAAGCTTTCTCAGTGAAGGGTTAGAGGGCAAATACTGCACGTTTTTCAGACCATTGTATCTGTTACAACTCTGCAGTTCTGTATTATAGTGCAAAGCAGACCTAGACAGTATATAAATAACTGGGCATGATTATATTCTAGCAAAAGTGTATTTATCAAAACAGGCATTGGACTAGCAGTAGCCCATGGATCATAAGTTGCTGACCTGTGATTTAAAACATGCTGTTTATAATCACAGGTGAGCAGATCTCTTAGCTCAAGTAACTAAGCATAGTCATTCTTTTCCTCAGTGTGTCAGCTGACTGTCCCTTATGGTGAGTCATTTTGTAGTTTGTTATGATTTTGAGTTGTGAACTCTGCACGTGGTTTTCTGTTGGACATGAGTGTGCCTTGAGTTGCGAAATTATCCTTCAGAGCTCATTTGTGTTTCAGACCTTGCAGCTAATATTTTTATCAAGATTTGCTTTGTAAATTATCGCCTTCAGAAATACACTGGATAGCAATTTTCTGAAATAACCCAGTATTTAGTGTACTACTTGAAACACGGTGAACACACAGCTACTATTGTTGCCATTTTCTCTGTTAAAATGAACAACATCTGGCTGGGGATGTAGCTCAGTGGAGCATTTGCCTAGTGTGCTCGAAGTTTGGTCTCCAGCACCACTAAAAATAAAAATGAACATAAAGTTAACAGCATTTTTGTTTCGTTGTCATCATGGATTCTCAGTCTTACAGAACTTATATCAATTGTAGTTGTTATCATTTATGCTTCCAAAGTTTCTAAAATTCTGATTAATTAAAAGTTCCTCAATAAAATGTTTCTTTATTGGGACATCCTTTGAGTTAAAAAAAAAAAAAATTAGAAGACACTGAATGAAATGTTTCTTATGGAAATTACGGCTTGCCAGTGCCAGACAAACATAATTAAAGGAGCTTTGTAGATTTCTCTTCTTAAAAATATCGTTTTCAAAGGGATGGAATTAAACATATGATTGAATATATATGTTCAATATATACGTATATGTGTGTGCATGTGTATTTTCCTCAATCTGTAGTAAATTCCTACCTCTTGCTTGTTCATCACAGGACACTTGAAATGGACCAAAGCTGAGGACATTGACATAGAAACCCCAGGATCTATTCTTGTCAACACTAACTTGAGGGCATTAATAAATAAACATACGTTTGCTTCCTTACCTCAGCATTTTCAGCAATACCTCCTGCTTTTGCTTCCAGAAGTGGATAGGCAGGTAAGTAGAAGTTTTAGACATTTGATATCAGTCACTAGTCACATTATGAAGTGGCAGGTCTGTTCTCAGAGATGACTGATATCTCAATGGTCTATTTTGTAATAATGTAGTACATATATATATATATATATATATATATATATAATTTATTTATATCTACTTATTTATTGCTGTCATTGGCTTAGTTGTTTAATCTGCCAAGAATAGAACCATATTTTTGTTCTTAATAGTGAGCCAGTTCTCATTTTAAAATGCAGTGTACTGCGGTAGAGTGAAAACTATAGACCTCCACCCTGGGAAGGGAAAGCAAAGAAATCAAACATTCCACTATCAAATAAATCTTTGAAGTAGCTGCTCCTTTGCCTGGAGGGAATATTGAAATTCAGTAATAAAAAGCCAGGGTTTCTAAGAAATTATGTAAATGTTTTTATTCTAAACTCTTTCCAAAAGGCATTTAAAATTTATGTTTGCATTTGCTTTCTGAGAGTCTATCATCATGAATATGATTGCCTATAAATAATCACCTTTTATCTTTCTTTTTAGTGTAACTGGAAATGCTCTAAGTATATTTTTGAAAAGCTTCTAAAAATAAGGAAATACAAATATAGGCCCGTAATAGCAGGCATCAATCATCTTGTAAAGCCATTTCCTTAGGAAAGCAAAGGGAAAAAATTTTTCATCACATAAACTTTTATTAAGTTTCACAGAAATTATTGAGTGGTATCTTGAAACATTCTTCTGTTATTCTCATTTCATTAAATTCTGATGCTGTTTATTGTTTCCATTTGATGGACTTAATTAATAGATGTGTATTTATGAATTTGTAGTTTGAAATGATAGGTACATTCATGGGCAGATTTCCATATTACCTTATAGAAGTTTTCTTAGATTTTTATTTGTTTCTGTTTTCTATTATCTTACCCATCTCCTTTCATAATATTTAAATATGATAAGCAATAGTTTGTTACAGTTCCCATGAATCTCTTTGGTGGTGATTGTTGTTCGTATTAAGAAAAATATTATTTTGATTTCCAGATACATTTTCATTTGGGAGTTTGCCTTCACTCAACAAAAATTTACTTACCATTCACTGTGAATATATTTCATGTGCTTTGGGAAAATAGAAAGATAGTATATGCTTAATGAGCGGTTATGGAATTAATGATTGAATATACTCCAGTTGGATGCATACACTTTTTTTGTGAATAACTAAAACATGAAGTAGAGACAGATAAGCTTAGAGGAAAAAGACAAAAATGAATTGCATTTTTTTTTTTTGGTACTGGGGATTGAACCCAGGAGTGCTTAAACACTGAGCCACATCCTCGGCCCTTTTGCAATTTTATTTAGAGTCAGGGTCTTGCTGAATTGCTTAGGGCCTTGCTAATTTGCTAAGGCTGGCTTTAAACTCATAATTCTCCTGCCTCAGTCTACCAAGTCTCTGGGATTACAAGCCTGCACACTGTGTCACCCTGCAGTGAGTCACGATTTTTATGCAAAGGGAAAAATCAAGAGACAAATTCAAAATCCTTGAATTGAATATTGATGTACACATAGAATATGAATAAAGTAGGTGAAAAAGTACCAAGAAAGGCCCAAAGATATAAACGTCAAAAGCTAATTTGGCAGGGGTTCTGGAATGTAGGAAGAACAGAACAAATGTTTCTGGAAACACATTGGGAGTAGATTTTGGAAGAGTCTTGAGTTTGAAGCTGGAATCCGAACTGTACTCCGCTAGTGTCTGCTGTAAGAAGCCACTGAGGGCCTTTGGGTAGAGCTCTAATGTCACCAGAGCGTTGCTTGGCCAGACAGTATTCTGGCAGTACTGAGAGGCGGGGTTGTGAAGGAAAGAATAGCTGGTAAGCAGTATTAGTTATTTCCGAAAGTGGCACACGACGGCCTTTGGGGGATTGGCCTTGAAATTACAGAGGAGGAGAATGCAGTCATCAGCCTCATTGTCACTGTCACTGTCACCACTCCTCTTTCTAGCAGTTTTTTTTTTTTTTTAATTATTATTTTTGGTCCTGGAGACTGAACTCAGGGAGCTTTCCAACTGAGTTACATCTCCAGTCATTTTTATTTTTTATTTTGAGATGGGTTCTCACTGAATTCCTAAGGGTGGCCTCAAACCTGTGATCTTCTAGTCTCCCGAGTAGCGGGGATTACAGGCCTGGGCCACCACAGCTAGCCTCCTGGCAGTGTTACAGTTTTCTTAACCATTTTAAATTTTTTATTCCTATAGCTTTATTGAGGTAAAATTGAAGTACAATAAAATGCAGAGTTTTACATTTTGTTAAATAACCCTTGAAGCAAGATAAAAGGAGGAGTCATTGTTGATTCTCTGGTTACGAGCATGCTTGAGAATAGGTTCAGATGTCTAGAAAAACTTTTTGAGAGGATTGACTTCTTAGCTTAATATCTTGTTTTGAGTTTTGTCTCCGGCCCCGGGAATAGGGTTTGGCATATACAAGGTGTTCAGTAAATATTTTTGGAATGAAGAAATGACATACTGTCCTAGGTTTAGCCAACCATTCAGTAACTCAGGAGGCCAGAATCCAAGCCTAATATTTTATTCAAGCTGTAGCACTTTATGTGACTCAGTATTTCTCTAGTTGCTCTGAGAAATACACACAAATAAGGCATAATTCCTATCCTCAAATAACATTTAGTCCTTTGGGAAATTACTTATTTATTCAAGAAATATTTACAGAGCATGTATTGCATGCTGTTTGCTTTGCTAAATACAGAGGATACAAGAAAGGATCTTGGGGAGGACTAACAGAGGAGAAAGGCAATCTCATACTGAAATATGGTACACTTGGGAAAAGTGGGAAAGAAGGTTAATTACTAGGTAGGTCTATACCCAAGTTCATATAAGATGAGGCTAAATTACATAAATGTTAGAATAGAAGTATGAAGAAAGTCCTCTGACAGCACAGATGTAACCTGAATGTAGTACTAGAGAGGATTTTATGATAGAGATGATGTTTAAGTTGAACCTGGAACTTCTTCAAGCCAAAGGAAAGAGATTTACACAGGGAGGCATGGCATTTCCAAAGACCCGTTGCTTATTGTCCTCATTGATGCAGTAGGTTTGTAGGACTAGAATAGTCCACAGGAGAGTGGTGGGATACCTTGTTGAGGAGATTGTTCTATAACCTCAAGGACCTGCTTCCAGTCGGCCACGTATTTTGAACCTTTTCTGAAACCACTAGGTTCCATCAAAGGGTTTGCAAATGAGAAGTGTCATGCATAGAATAATTTAAACAAATATTTTAGTGTCTGGACAGAGGGGAGGGCAAGAGAATACAAAGAATAAATAAATAAAATATAGTTGTTATTTTCCCTAAGGGAGCCAGTAGCCCTGTGAATGATGGATTGGAAAGGCAGAAAGATAAGGCACTGGGAGATGGAGAAGAGACAGTCTCAGTAGCTGGGATAAGAGATAAAGGTCTGACCTTGTACATTGGCCTTGAAAATGAAAAGAATGAATTCCAAATGTATTTTCAACTCAGAATTAGTAGGAATGAGTGACAGATTGCCTATAGTATGGGGTTAAAGGTGTGGAAGGCAACTGAAGATTTTATCTAGGGGGATTGGGAAGGACCAAGGCTCTGTGGCATTTGAAAACAAGAAGTTCAGAGCTCATTCTCTCTCCCCTACTTCCTCTCTGCCTCTACTCATCTCTCTCCATCTTTTCTTGAGGACTGTTTGTCTTAATTATGTTTTTTCTCTTTTAAATATTTTTTTAATTGTCAATGGTCCTTTACTTTGTTTTTATTTATATGTGGAGCTGAGAATCCAACCCAGTGTCTCACACATGCTAGGCAAGTGCTCCTCCACTGAGCTACATCCCCAACAGGGAGGATTGTAGCGCTCTCTCTCTCTCTTTTTTACTTCTAGTTGTTTTATAACATTGTTACATCTAGTTCTATACTTTATATTACTGTTCATGAATTATATTGCAAGTAACAGAAAATCTAACTCAAACTGACTTTCAACATAAATGGGATTTATTAGCTCAGGTAAGTAGAAGACAGAGGTTAAGGTGTAGTTTTGGTTATTAGTCCTGGCATTCAATTATTATGAAGGACCCATTTAATTATCATTCAAATAGTTAATTTAAAAAAAAATCTACCTTCTTATTGGCAGTATTCTAAACCTGACTCCCTTTGTGATGGTATGGCTAACTGAATTTAAAAAAAAAAAAGGATAATTGCCTCTTGGTTCGTGTGCATGGGGAGAACATATCTTTCCCAATATTTTAAACTAAAGACCTAAGATTCACACTGATAGTGCTGCTGAGATCACATGACCATTTCTTAAGCAGTGACTCCAGCCAAGGTAATGGAATATGCAACTTGGCTTAAGCCAGCGAGGCCTGCTCCTGGAGTGAAAGGGTATAATTATAGTTAGAGTTCAGAAATGTATTAAAAATCTGATATCTAGGAAGTTTTATTGTTAGAGGATATATGATTGATGGGGTATAGATGCTTTTTAGGCAACTAATAGTACCCGCTGAAGTGGGGTGGAAACTGAGTTTGGTTTTTAACATGTTGGCTTGAGATAATGTCTATTGAATGAAATGTCCAGAAAATTATGTTGTATTTAGGTTTGAAAACTGGAGAAGATCATATTCATGATAAAACGTATATAGATTATTATATCAGCCATGGATTTGATGAGATTGTCTTTACAGAGGAACACATATATTAAGAAAGAGTATGAGAAGCAGCCGGGGAACAGAGAGAAAATAGCAAATCCATGGGAGACCACCAATGTGGAGAGCATATACAGATTTGGGTTTCCCCCCTTCAGTCTTTGCTTTCCTCCAGAAACAAACCTATGGATGAAATCCTACAACAGGATGACCTGTGCCCTCCGTTGTCTTTTTTTCTCTTTTTAATTTTGAAATAGTTATAAACTTTTAGAAAATTTTATGGTACATTCAAGATGTTTCCAGTATAATGGTTCAGTCTTCCTCCCAACAATATATTTTG